TTATTATTATTATTATTATTATTATTATTATTATTATTATTATTATTATTATTATTATTATTATTATTATTATTATTATTATTATTATTATTATTATTATTATTATTATTATTATTATTATTATTATTATTATTATTATTATTATTATTATTATTATTATTATTATTATTATTATTATTATTATTATTATTATTATTATTATTATTATTATTATTATTATTATTATTATTATTATTATTATTATTATTATTATTATTATTATTATTATTATTATTATTATTATTATTATTATTATTATTATTATTATTATTATTATTATTATTATTATTATTATTATTATTATTATTATTATTATTATTATTATTATTATTATTATTATTATTATTATTATTATTATTATTATTATTATTATTATTATTATTATTATTATTATTATTATTATTATTATTATTATTATTATTATTATTATTATTATTATTATTATTATTATTATTATTATTATTATTATTATTATTATTATTATTATTATTATTATTATTATTATTATTATTATTATTATTATTATTATTATTATTATTATTATTATTATTATTATTATTATTATTATTATTATTATTATTATTATTATTATTATTATTATTATTATTATTATTATTATTATTATTATTATTATTATTATTATTATTATTATTATTATTATTATTATTATTATTATTATTATTATTATTATTATTATTATTATTATTATTATTATTATTATTATTATTATTATTATTATTATTATTATTATTATTATTATTATTATTATTATTATTATTATTATTATTATTATTATTATTATTATTATTATTATTATTATTATTATTATTATTATTATTATTATTATTATTATTATTATTATTATTATTATTATTATTATTATTATTATTACTATTATTATTATTATTATTATATAGTGAAATTATTTATTTCCAATATTAGGTATACGTATTTATCTTCCTATATTTATGTATTATGGGATATAACCCTGGAAACGAAGATTTTTTAAAAATAAATTTGTAATATACAACAACAAAAATACCAATGTTCGGACATACTAGAAGTACATTCTAAAAGAATGAATTAAAAAGAAGTTAATCTCCTTTTGCTTCAATAACAGCTTTGATCCTCTTAGGCATTAGGAAACGAGTTTTAGACAAAAATATTTGGTAAAATTATCCCATATTTCTTGAATTGTTTTTCTTAGACCTTCAACAGATCTTTGGGGTTGGTTTCGCAATTTTTGTTTCATTACGTGCCATAAATTCTCGATTATATTCAAATCGGGGCTGTTTGCAGGCCACGATAGAACGTTCATTTCATTATTTGCAAACCAATGTTTTGTTGATTTGGCCATGTGGCATGAAGCTTCATCTTGTTGAAAGATGAAATTTCCAGTGGAATGTAGCTTTTGTAGTGATGGCAATAAATTTTCTTGGAGAATATCTTGATATTTCTGCGCGTTTATTGTCCCGTTGATGAAATTCAAAGTGCCTACACCTTTTCCGGACATACATCCCCAAATCATAACGCTCTGAGGAAATTTTACTGTGCGTTTCAGACAATCTTTATGAAATGCCTCTTTCTTAGTTTGTATTACTCCCTTTCTCAAGTCTCCCAAGCAAACATCAAATTTGGATTCATCACTAAATACAACTGCAGTCCAATCTTGAATGGTCCACGATAACTGGGATTTAGCCCAAATGAGTCTGTTCCTTTTTTGACGTTCAGTTAGAAGTGGCTTTTCTTTAGCCTTTAAATAAAAAGAAGTAAATGAGTGGTTATTTTATAGTTTGTTCAAGAAATATATCAACTACCTTGTAAAAATTCAAGCCAGACTTATGAATCCATATCCTACAACATTCTCTGGATACATTTAAGCCACAGCATTTGTTCCACTTGGCTGTAATTGCACGCACAGTGGCTCTTCTGTTAGTTTTACAAATTTGTACCAATGCTCTTTGGTCTCTTTGTGACACACGTTTAGGTTTTCCTTTACTTTTGCCTCTTATATTGACGCTGCCTGTTTCCCCATACAATTTAATAGCATCACCGACACTTAGATTTTGCGATATTTAAACACTTACTAATTTTTTCCATTGAATTACCTTCATGATACATTTTAACAATAATTTCTCGC